TCATGGTCAAGGCAACATAACAAGATTACCCGGAAAAAAAATTATTCAAAGTAGAAAATTAGGAATCTTTTGTTCCATCACAGAAAATTCTTTGATTTTTATCATTTCAAAGAATTTATGTGATACATTATTAGAAATATAGGATTAAATGGTTCCTAAAAGCGGATTCAACTCAACCCCTTAAAATCTTTAAATGCAGTCATTTGATTTGGTAATAAAGTAGAATACAAAATAATAATAAATAGAAATAAAAGAATGGCCTGATTCTATCTTAACGGTCAATCGTCCATAAAAGAGAAGGTTCCATCAGAACAATTATTTATTGCTATTTCAGGATACTGGGTCTCTCTTTTTTTTCTTCCAGTTTTTTATTTAAAAGTGTGGGGATAAATGACAAAAAGATATTGGAACATCACTTTTGAAGAGATGATGGAAGTTGGGGTTCATTTTGGCCATGAGCCTAGGAAATGAATCCTCGAAGGGCACCTTTTATATCGGGAAAACGTAAAGGTATTTATATTACAAATCTTGCTAAAACTGCTCATTTTTTATCAGAAGCTTGTGATTTGGCTTTTGATGCAGATAAGCACATGAAAATAATTTTTAATTGTTGCTACAAAAAAAAGCAGACGATTCAGTAACACGGGCTGCAATAAGAGCTCGATGTCATTATGTTAATAAAAATGGCTCAGAGGTATGTTAACGAATTGGTATACTATAGAAATGAGACTTCGTGAGTTCAGGGACTTGAGAACGGAGCAAAAGACGGCGAAACTGATCTCTCTTCCAAAAAGAGATGCCACTATGTTGAAGAGACAATTATCTCATTTGGAAAGATATCTAGGCGGTATAAAATATATGACAGGATTACCTGATATTGTAATAATCCTTGATCAGCAAGAAGAATATACGGCTCTTCAAGAATGTATCACTTTGGGAATTCCAACGATTTCTTTAATTGATACAAATTCTGACCTAGATCTTGCAGATATTTTGATTCCGGCTATTGATGATGCTATAGCTTCCATCGGATTAATTCTTAACAAAGTAGTTTTTTAAATTTGTGAGGGTTTTTCTAGCTATATACAAAAAAATTGATTAATAATAAGATAAATCAATTTTTAGATTTGGTTGGGCGTGCAGTCATAGATTTTTGGAATTGGTTATTATAGCATTACAAAATTGTGTAAAAAGAAATATTTTGTGATTAGTAGGTATTCAAAATAGAAAATCAAATTAAAATAAGGAAATGGTTGAATCAAAATAATTCCCTTTCAAGGTATTTTTTATTTTATTTTAGAGGACAGGGCAATATGAATGTTCTATTATGTTACATCAACACATTAAACAGATTCTATGATATATCTGCTCTGGAAGTAGGTCAACATTTCTATTGGAAAATAGGGGATTTTCAAGTGCATGCTCAAGTACTTATTACCTCTTGGGTTGTAATTGCTATCTTATTAATTTCAACCATTCTAGTTGTTAGAAATCCGCAAACTATTCCTACGCCTGGTCAGAATTTTTTTGAATATGTCCTTGAATTCATTCGAGACGTGAGCAAAACTCAGATTGGAGAAGAATATGGTCCATGGGTTCTGTTTATTGGAACTCTGTTTAAATTTATTTTTGTTTCGAATTGGTCAGGGGCCCTTTTGCCTTGGAAAATTATAAAGTTACCTCATGGAGAGTTAGCTGCACCCACAAATGATATAAATACTATTGTTGCATTAGCTTTACTTACATCAGTAGCCTATTTCTATGCGGGTATTTCAAAAAAGGGATTGGCCTATTTTGGTAAATACATCCAACCAACGCCAATCCTTTTACCGATTAACATCTTAGAAGATTTCACAAAACCCTTATCGCTTAGTTTTTGACTTTTCAGAAATATATTAGCGGATGAATTAGTAGTTGTTTATCTTGTTTCGTTAGTACCTTTAGTAGTTCCTATACCTGTTATGTTCCTTGGAATATTTACAAGTGGTATTCAAGCTCTTATTTTCGCCACTTTAGTTGCGGCGTATATAGGTGAATCCATGGAAGAGCATCATTGACTAGTTATCAAAATTGTGTTTTAGCCCTCAACAAAGTATGTGTGGCTCGCGATAATATACTTAAGGAATATTAATAAAAAAATACAAAGAAAATTTTAAAAGGTTTAATAATAATAAAAAAGTAGAAAGAAAATTAAAACAATTACCAGGGAATTGTAAAAAAAAATAGAGATTAAATAAATTAAAAAGGTTGAGGGGGTCAAACTAGGTGTATATATAATCTAATCGTTATAAGACAGCTGGGGGATTTCCAAGAATGATTGATTGAATCTAAGATACAACTCATTGGTTTACGGTATGGAACAAACACATGTATATGTCATAGTAGATATTCATTAGTTATATATGACGATCTATCTAAATTTGTCCTGCTACTACTCTAAATTTCGGTAGGGATTCAAAAAAAAAAGATTCCATCTCTTGTAATTCTGAATTGAATATAAAATGACTAAAAAAATGAAATCAAAGAAGAAAAAAAGTTTAAAATGTAAGATAAGACCAAAAATTGTATGTATTCACAAAAAACTACAAGGGTAGAAATGAAAAAAGTTATTATCGAAATAATTAGGATAATTCAATAAAAATTATTAAGTTTGAAATTTTGAATTACACTTCGACTGGATAAAGAGAAATATGAAGAATGAAATAATTAAGTCATAAATTTTATGTTGATTATATTATTAACTATTTTTTTATTTAATTTGGAATAGGAGAAACTTATCATGAATCTACTGATTGTTGTTGCTTCTGTTATTGCTACTGGGTTGGCCGTCGGGCTTGCTTCCATTGGACCTGGAGTTGGTCAAGGCACAACTGCAAGGCAAGCTGTAGAAGGGATTGCGAGACAACCGGAAGCAGAGGATAAAATACGGGGTACTTTATTACTTAGTCTGGCTTTTATGGAAGCTTTAACTATTTATGGGCTGGTTGTAGCATTAGCTCTTTTATTTGCCAATCCTTTTGTTTAATAAAAAAATATATCTTGTTTTTTCCATGGACTTTCGTTGCTGCTCTTGCTTTTTTTTCATTCTATTTAGATTTTACTCCTAAATTTTTTTCTTCATTCGGATTAACATATTGATTCGCCTTCTTCCGTCCCTTTTTTTAGTCCACTGACCCCTTTTTTGATTTAAAAAGTGTTGAAACCAACTAAGTATTTTGCAATTGACATAAGAACTAGTATTTCCTTCTAAGAAGTATCATTCTTATAGGGACTCTTCCAATTGACTAACCAATTTTAGTATATTTTATTCTTACTAATATACTAATTTTAGTAAGAATAAAAATATACTAATTTGATATATTCATATTAAATAATTAAAAAATTATATTATAGAATAAACTATCATAAACAAATAAAAAAACTTGGAATCGTAGAAAGAAATTTTGTCTATCCATAAGAGGAGATGCGATCATATGAAAAATATAACTGATTCTTTTCTTTACTTCATTTACTGGACATCCGCCGGAAGTTTCGGGTTTTATACCGATATTTTAGCAACAAATCTAATAAATCTAAGTGAAGTGCTAGGTGTATTGATTATTTTTGGAAAGGGAGTGTGTGCGAGTTGTTTATTTCAAAGAATAGATTGGATACAACCAAATGATAGAATAGGAAATAATCATTATTAGTTTGAATTTATTATTGATTGTATATGATTGTATATAAATGAGTATTATTTGGTGTTGACCATATATTATTAGTTACCATAGATATAGCCTTGAGATAAGCATTTTGTTATGGACTGACAGCAAGGAATGCTAGGAATTCTTGTATATATTGATTGATCATGGAATAGAAAGGGACGGGAATTATATTCTTATATGGTATCACGAGTCCTCACCCTTTCCTTTCTTTTGCTTCCGCAATCCTTTTCTACTTAACCATGTCTGAAACATCATCACCTACTCTGAAAACCATGTCTGAAACTCAAAACTTCCATCCTGCCTTGTCTATCACCAATGTGAAATCCCTTATTCCTATCACGTTGGATTTAGAATCTGGGCAGCACCGCTCGTGGTCGGCGTTATTCAAAGTTCAAGCACGAGTCCATGACGTGCTTGAACATATCATCCTTCCTACTGATGCAGAGGCGAAGGATGCATATGAGAAGACCAAAGCCGCCAATCTCGCTCTCTGGAAGCGCCTTGATGCAGTGGTCTTGCAGTGGATTTATGCCACGATCTCTTCCGACATCCTCACCTCCATTCTCATTGACGATGACTCGGCTGAACATGCTTGAAAAAGTGTTGTTGATCTTTTTCAAGACAATAAAAATTCAAGGGCTATGTACCTTAATAAGGAATTTACCAACACAAACCTTGCTGATTTTTTGACGACAAATGCTTATTACAATCGTCTTAAAAGTCTTACCGATCAACTAGCCAATGTCGGGGCTCCGGTCAGTGATCACAATATGGTTCTAAAAATGCTTCAAGGCTTGACAGAACAACACTCAAATTTTTTCACCGTGATGCAGAACAAGAAGACCTTACCTACCTTTGCTACAGCTCGGTCCAAACTTGCATTGGAGGAGACCACACTTTTGGAGCGAGCAAAGCAAGATTCTGGTTCCACTGCCCTTGTTGCTAATAATTATTATTCTCTTGATACTGGTTCCTCTTTTCAAACACCACATCAAAGCAATAATTCCAATGGTCGTGCAACGATCAACAAAAACCGCAACAGTCCCAAAAACCGTAAAAAAAATAAGGGCGGCGGTAACAGCCAAGCTAGTGGCGGACGCAGCAACAACCGCTGGGGTGGTCAGACCGGTGGTGGTGGACAACATTGGAATCAGCAGCAGTGGACTCAACCTCCTTGGTGGGCGTTGATGCAAGCTCCTTGGGCCATGCCTCCATGTCCTTACCCAACTCAACCATGGGCTCATCAACCTAAGCCACGACAGCCTGGTGTATTGGGCCCAAGACCACAGCAGCAACAAGCCTATGCAACAACAACTCCAAAGGACATCGAATCGACAATGCATACGATGTCCCTTTCTCAGCCAGATCCGAATTGGTACATGGACACCGGGGCAACGTCTCATATGACGTCCACACAAGGTAATCTTTCGTCTTATTTTAATTTGAGAAAAAATAATGGAATTCTTGTTGGTAGCGGACACTCAATTCCAATTCGCGGTTATGGACATACTGTTCACAGTAATTTTTGGTGAACAACCGCTAGTCTTCCAAACTATCGAATAAACTTAATTACTGTCATTCAATTTCTCTGGTAACTTGCAGGATCGACTAGATTGATCCTATGGAACATAGTTGTTTGGTTAAGTCTAATTGTAAAACTGGTATTCCTATTTAGGACTACTAATTAAAGTGTTTTAAAGATATCCAATCCACTTCGATTACTATACTGAATGATTCGAAGGACAATTTCTATATGATATCAGGAATGTTCTTTAGAAAAGTAAAAATACTTAAGATTGGGCAAATGGCAGGATTAAGTAAGTGAATGTAAAAGTTACTGAATGTTTAGAGGATTCGAACATAAGAAAAGTGTTTAAATGCAGAAAGAAATAAATGACTTCGAATGTAAAGGCTTTAATGTAAAGGCATAAACATAAAATTGTTTGAAGCACAAATGAAATGGAAGTGAAAGACAAAACTGGAAAATGTAAAGAGTTTTCATTGAATTGTAAATGTTGGTGTTATCATATGTACATCTTTTGAGCATTTGTTTCCCTATCCATGCGGTATTTTGAATGTTTACTGAATTTGTACAATAGATATGACACCCTGAAATCCTAACACTAAGACCTCTATTTATACTACTTCGACCATAACGGTCTTGTTATCAGAATCTGCCACGTTCGAAGCATGCAGAGCATTACTTCCCTCTAACCTCCACGCATCCTTGAACGTTCCAATGCTTATGTATTTTGAATTTCCAATATCCCGCTCACGTTTGAATTTCAAGCGCCTTGGTACCTTCATTTCGAATTCGTTTCGAAAACAACCCTCACAAATATAGTCTCATCATTA